GAGGTTGTCCCTGGGCAGGCTGGGGTGAGAGCCAAGAATCTGCCTTTCTAGCCAGCCCCCAGCTGAGTCTGGGGCCCACACTTTGAGAACCACTGGTGGAGAGAGCTTGCTACTGCCAGTGTGATCCCAGAGCAGCAGCAACAGGGAGCTAGCCAGGACAGAATCTCAGGCCCACCTGCTGCTCCTGCATTTGGTCGTGCATTTTATCAACAGGCCCAGGAGGTCTGAGGCACACAGCTCAGTCTGGGAAGCTGCTCAAATGCTAGCTTGGGTTGGGGGATGGGGATGCCAAGTTGTTTTCCAGCCCTCTGCCTCAGTCTTTTCTGAGCCTCCAAGCTGACTTGGGGTATTGGGGGCAGACAGCAGCACACTTTAGGAGGCAGGTGTCCTGTGCTATGCAGAGGGACCTCCCAGGATCAGTTAATTTTAAGGCATTAGGTAAACAAAGCCTAGTCACTGTCTTTCCTACAGGACTTCTCAGACAGTTGTGGATCTCAAAGAAGGGCTTATCATTTGCAGCACTTTCAGAATCCACTTGGTCAGAGAATCCTGCCCTTGCCTACCCTCAGTACCCTCTTCAACCCCCATCCACTCGTGTTAGGATGACCAACTTGCCCTGTTTCCCCAAGACTCAGATGTAGAACATACATCCCCAAGTGACCTTAAAGCCAGAAAAATCCCTAACAAAGGGGAACAAATTGGTCACCTAGGAAAAAGCCAGTATAGCAGGAAAAAGAGACTGGTCCCTCGAGAGGGTGAGTGTTACAGGATGAAGGGAGCAGGTGGAACCTAGGGCCTACAGGAGGTCATGGAGAGGGGCACAGGCCATCACAAAGGGGAGGTGGGAAGTAATGGGACCTGGAGAGCATGTGGATGGTTTGAAGGTGCAGAGAAGGTCCTTTAGCTCGCTCAGGAGACACTGCCATCTAGCGGCCACTAAGCAGAGTCCCATCTGCTTTTCTGCAGCCCGCTCTTGCTCTTCCCAACTTCCTCTGATGAGGAAACTGAGGCAGGAGGAGGGTGGTGATGGGACCCCACACTTTCCGACCCATGTAGTTCTGAAAGCCCGGGTTTTCATGTAATACACATGAGCCTTTATGCCCTAGAGCCCAGAGTCAAGCTAAGTCAAGGGTAGCAAGGGATTTGTGGGGTTATCTGCCCAGCCTTTCATGACACCCAGGATAGGCAACAGGTCCCAGGGAGGTGGGGCTGTGGCTGCAGCTGGTGATGGTCGCACTCACCGCACCCCAGCCCCTCCTGCCACAGCTGCTTCTCTTGTGTGAGGAGCAGTTTTAAAGGCTCTGATGTGGAGGCAAGAGGCCAGGTTCTGGGTCTCATCTACCACTAGCTAGGTTCCCTCTGGCAAGTGGCATCACAGTCAGGCCAGTGGGCTGAGGTTTGGCTCTTCCTCTGTCTCAGAAAACCTACTGTGTTGCAGGGGACAGAGCCATTCTACTCTGTGAGTGTTTCTGGTTGGCAGAAGGTCACTGATAGACAGCAGGATGGACAGGGAGCCTGAGGGCCCTTGTCACTAAGGACTGGCCTGATAGATGTCCCCTGGCTGCCTGTCCCCACCGATCCTGGGCCCGCCCTTCTGGTCTATGCCACAGCCCTCATCTGAAGGCTGGCACCAGGAAGTTGTTCTGATGTCCACACCTGGGCTGTTCTCTATTACCTGTCTCAGGCAGCCTCAACTCTGCTTCTCCCGCCCCAAGAAGGTACCAGCTGTTGTGTTCAAACATCAGTAGTGCCTGGAACAGAATCTTCCTAAGCAAGCTGAATCACCTTGCCTCTGGCAGCATGGATAAACCAGACTTTCTCTCCCTGTTTTCCAATTAGATTTGAAAGTGACCTTAAGGCCAAAACTGGCCGCACTCTCAGCTGGTACTGGAAGGGCCTGTGGGCCGGCGTGAGCCCCCTGCTGATCGTCAGCCTCTTTTTCTTCTACCTGAGCGACTACATCCTCATGGGCACTCTGCAGTACCAAGCCTGGGACGCCTCTCAGGTACCTGCTGTCCCCACGGGGCTGGCCCTGGGCCCCCAAGGTCACTGGGGACTTTAGTCCTCTGAAACCAAGGAATGATATCCATGGGGTGGGTGGGTTATTTGTCACAACCTGGAAATGTTGTTGAGGTATTTTAAAAATACTCAGTCCAAGACAGCGGAGTTGGGCTTTGAGCTTTTAAGTACATGCTGCAGGGAGAAGAGTAACCTTTCCCAGGACGCTGGGAATAAGCCCCGCAAATGCCCTACTTCCTGCCTAACGGGCAGTGCCCCGAGCAGCCACAGCTGCCTGGTGGCCTCCACTACACTGGACAACACTGATACAGAAAGTTCCATTCTGGGCTAAAGGCAGCCCCTGCATTCAGGCCTGAAAGGTGCCTCAGACATAAGGTCCTTGATGATTACCCGCTTATCCCTTATGGGTAGCTCCAACAACAGCTTTACACACACTGGTTGAAGTAGATTCGTTATACCGTTTATGGAAGAGGAGGAGGCTGTGGGGAGTGCCCTTGCCCTCCCCTCCCCACGTACTTGCTCAGGAGCTATAGAGCCAGGTGGTCCAGGGGTAAGGATGCCCAGCCCCAAGGATTCTGTCCCACCCTACACCACCTCTCTACCATATCTGGGGGCTGAGGCCTGGGGCACAATGCTCTCAGAAGGGTCTTCCTACTGACATGCAGTCTCTCCTTTCAGGGCCGGCTTGTGACCAAAGATTACCCTCCCTATGCGCTGGCTGTCATTGGGCTGCTGGTGGCCTCCTCCACCATGTGCATCCCCCTAATGGCCCTGGGGGCTTTCATCATGCGCCACCTCAGGAAGGGAGACGCTACCCCGGTGGCCTGAGAACTGGGCTTCCGGGCCACAGAACCTCCTCAACTGCTTTTAAGATGTTTAAGCCGGAAGTACTCGGTGGATCAACTTCCTGAATCTCTGAAGAATTAGGAAGGTGAAGAGGATGAAGACTCCCTCAGGAGAAACATACCCCTGGAGAAGCCACCCTTCCTCCTCTGCCTGCCCTGAAGGCCATGCCCTCATCAGCCTCCTTGTCATCAAAGGAGGCAGGTGTGAAAGCCAGTCCCCAGGACAAACTGCTTCCTTGATTCTAGGACAGTCTTAGAATTACAACACATTGTGAGCTGAAATTTGACTATAACTTTTATGGGAACAAATTTAAGCAACTTGGTTTTTTGCTGAAGAGATGCTAAAATTCTAGAAGGCAATCACTTTTAGATCTGTTCGACAAGTTTTGAAGTGCCTGAGATGACATATTTGAATGTCATTTGTGTGAAATTAATTTTCTTTTTGGTCACAGTGAAGGGGTAATTTCTGTGTTCCCCTTCCCCCCTATAAATGCTAATAGGACTGACCAACCGTAAAGATGACCTTTGTTTGGGGCCCCCAAAGGGCATCACCTCTCTCTAAGGGCTCTCACAGAGGGTGGAGGAGCAGCCCTCTGTACAACTGCCCCCACAACAGTTAGCAGCCCCAAACCACAGAAATCTGTGCAGATACCCTGCCCGTGGTATCTCAGTGACTGGAAAACATATAGGAAGCCACTGTGAGGTGAAAATGAGTCTAAGTTTCCCATTGGCTTAATGTTGTATTTGAGCATCAAGACCAACTCTATAAAGACCAAGAACATTACTTATCATCAATTTTAAATTATTTAACTGTATATAAGAACGTTTTCAAAAATGTATGTAACCCAAACAGAGCACCCTGTAACTGAAGACACACCGTATTTATGACACGGTACTAGTCCAATTTTTTTTTCCTATAGTAAAGTAGGTCAAGGTTACTCCTCAAGTCAGAGTTCCTTCCTGCTTTAACATAACATTTGGTGCTTCCCTGAGATCATGGAATTGAGAAGAGTCTCTTTGGGCATATTTGTGTGGGCATCTCTGAAGACACACATTCACTTGGGACAGCAGCCAGACATACTTTTGTTCATGCTATGAACTTTCCAATAGCAAAAATAGGCATTAGATAGGCCATCCACTGTCTTGAGCTGCCACCTCGTCACCACTTCCAGTTCTGCCTCACATCCAGTTATAAAAAGATCATTTGACTTCTGAATGTATGAACCATCACTTATTTACCACAAATACTCAGTTTTCTCATTTCTCATCCAGTGGTTAAAATCAAAAGCCTCAGGCTTGATGAGTGGGAACACTCGATGGCAAACACTGTACAGTGTCAGTTCCTGACCTGAAGGATCTGTCCCCTCACCCCAACACTCACACGTGGTCACCATCTTATAACACGAGACCACCCTCTCCTGGGGTCTGTCAGGAGTCAGGGTGTAAGCTCTGAACACCAGGTATCCTCAGGGGTGAAAAGGTAAATATCCTAGATCAGTACTTTATTCAGAGTCCCTCCCCCATTACAACCACCTGGGGGTATTTAAAACTCCAGATGGCCCGGCCACACTCTAGGCCATCAGGCCTTCTGGGGGTGAGACCTGGGCCTCAGTAGTTTTTGAAATGTCTTAGGTCAGCGATTCTCAACCTGTGGGCTGCGACCCGTTTGGAACTGTATTAAAGGGCCATGGCATTAGGGAGGTTGAGAACCATTGCCTTAGGTGATTCCCGTATGTGGTCAAATGTGAGAGCCAGGCCCCACTTAAAGCAGAAGGAAAATGGATGGTACATTTAGGCCTATTTACATCAAAAATTCCTCTTAAAATTTTGAAAGCATTTTTGAGTATTTCAAATTATGTGGAAAAATCACATCTATGGCCTCCATTTTGCTCATGGAAATCACAATGATGAAGTTCTGCTTTTATAGAATAATGTGCTTCAGATGGAAATGGCTCAGGGTTAAGTTTCAGTCTGGTTTCTGTGAACTTCATGAAGAGCAGAACGTTTACTGATAATCCTCTTTAGCCAGTAAATCATGTCTCAATTTTTTGTTTTGCTGTTTCCTAAGTACTACGCAAGTGGTCATGTTGACAGTTTGTCTACCCACCCTCCAATATGCTGGAGAGAAAAAGGGATGTTCCGTCCCCGCGCACCAACAGTCACAATGACTTTACGGCCAGATCCTGGACTCTGAAAATCTTTCTGTTTTTACTGGAAATATAATGACCCTTGACATAGCTTCAATAATTCATTGTTTTTTGGGTTTTGTTTTTTTTTTTTAGCAATTGTCATAGTAAATAAAACCCTAAGCAAGTATATCTACACAGGTGTTTTGTGTGTGTGTTTTTGTTTTTGTTTTGTTTTCACGTTTACTGGCTATAGTTTACAAACTCTCAATGCGAGAATTTTCTCTCATTATGTAAACACACAAACTAATCTGTGTGTTTACTTCTAATATAGCCAGTGGATGGGGCCTATCACACAAGCTGAAAGGGCCTGTAAGTTAGAGAAAAATATTTCTGATTTTCTGGATTTACAACAGAATGTGAGCTCTTTGAATTACTGCAGAATCTTTCCGACCTTTTTCAGAGTGTCCTGGGGAGTCCACCCATGTCTCAGCATCTTTCTTTAGGCACAGCTGTACAAAGCCACCTTAGGTGTGACCTTGGAACCTCGCCTGAGAGGGAGCAGGTTGTAAATTATTGTATTTGATTTTCGTATGAGTTATTTACTTCCTCGAGGAAAAGCCAACTTCGGGCTAGTCCCCTTTTATGGGTGGGAAAGCTGGAGCAGAGAGTTAACTAGTGCATGATTTTCCACCCTGTATCAGTCAGGGCTGGAAAAAAATAACAGATTTACATATCCCTTTGTAAGACTAAAAGTGCATCTCCAAATGGGAAATTTTTTTTTTTTTTTTGAGACAGGAGTCTTAAGCTGTCCCCCTGAGTGCCGTGGCATCTCAGCTCACAGCAACCTCCAACTCCTGGGCTCAAGCGAGTCTCCAGCCTCCACCTCCCAAGTAGCTGGGACCACAGGCACCCACTACAACGCCTGGCTATTTTTTGGTTGCAGCCATCATTGTTGTTTGGCGGGCCCGGGCTGGATTCAAACCCGCCACCTTGGGTGTA